AAATTTTATCGATGAAAAAATTCATTAATAATCCATCAATTAAAAATTTTATCACCGGAATACTAATGGATATTTTTAATCAATAAATCTCGTGTCACTTATTGCATCAAAATCTCTACCAATGATTTTTTATTTGTTGAAAAATTTCATTGATAAATTCATAATAATTTTTTCTTATGATCTGTTGGCAATTCATCCTAAAAAATTTTTATCAATAAAAATCTATCGATACTTAACATTTTTTTGATACTGAAAGCATTTGAGATAATCCGATCAACTCACATGCCAAAAACCAAAAAGAGCTTTGACTACCGAAAAGTTTATAACCATCAAAACGGGTGACCACTTTTTAATTATAAAATATGAACGACTTGGGTTCACAGAATTCGTAGCGTTGGAATGCGGGTGTCTTTTCGACTGCACCTAGCATTCCCCTAGCCCAAAATTTGACAAACCTCCATTGTACAAGCCGCCATCCGTCATCGGCGACCATGGCTGCCGGTGACAATGGTCGCCGATGACAAGAAACCTTAAAATCCTTTTTCGATTCCTCTCACTCCCTTCTTCATGTTGGTCAGATTGAATTTTTTGAAAATCCTTTAAATTTCCTTAGATCTAAGTTAGAAAGTCAAGATTGCAGTTGCTATTTCTGTCCCCTTCCGCCTCCAAATTTCTCATGTCTTCTTCCTCTTACCTAACCCAAAACTTCCCGATAAAAACCCAAACCACAACCCTTCTACCAAGTGCAGAATGAAAGGAAAAGGGTCATGAAGACAGTGTACAGTGTTGGTGTGTTTATTTTTAATGGGTATCCTGTACAGTGCTGGGGCGGGATGTCGATGGCACGTTTGGTAGCAGAATGTAAAATTGGTATTTACTTTTTTATGTTGAGGTTCGTTTTTTAATGTTTACCATTACTTGTAAGGAAGGTGTGTATGTTACAGCTTGGTTGTGACTTGTTGAAACCATATTAAGGAAGGTAAGAAAAAGAAAAGAAAAAGAGGTAGAAGGAGATAGAAAATTAGAGAATAGAAAGGAAAAGAAAAGGAGACCAGAAACAGAACAGAATATAGAAGAAATGAGACATAATATTTCCATTCACACCTCATGCATCACATTCCTGCCTTTTATAGGCTTACACTTGCTAGTAGTTGCTGAATACAAGGACCAGTAAGAATTAAGAATCTAACAGCTAATGATTGCCACGCTAACTAACTAAAATACCAGCTCAGCCTCCCCAACGGTCTTGCTAGCATTTTCAATTGCTCTGTCTTTTCCCTTGTCCTCATTCTTGCTTCTAGACATTACCTTTCTCGGCTCCTTACCCCTTGCATCCTTTTTTCTGTTTGTGCCTTCAACTACTGCTACTCTTTCTGCCATTTCATCAACACCAATTATCAAATTTATCACATTACCATCCCCTACGGCTGATCCTTGTCCCCATGGATCAAAGGACAGGAACAACAATTGAGTCACTATTTGGATACCCTTTTTTTCACTATCATCTTGTCTAGTAAATTACCACCAGGTGGATGCTTCCACACTTTGCAAATAAGACCAACCTTTTGATTGTCCTTCCAGTAAAGTGCATCATTGAACTCCTTCATTACGCATTGAGTCATAATTTTGGGCAGTAGATGACAAGGAAACTGTCATTGGTTTTGGGCAACTAACAGCACCATAGATATTTGGTGGTTTGACACAGTGAGGTCCATAAGATTGCACCCACCTGGTAATAGTGAAAGCAAAACAGGACAACTGCCGACCAAAATACTCAACCATGCTGTTTTTTTCAAGCTTTCCTTAAACCAAGACATCAATGTTAAGTTCTACCTAAAGGTCAACAATCTTCTTAATTTCATCCTTAATGGCTTTAATGTAATCATCCTCAGAGATCTTGTTAGCCTTGAATCCACCACGAACTTTCCTGAGTTCCAAGTTTTGAGGAAGGGATCCAGTAGTTGTGCTGCTTTTTCTGCTGGTTACCCAGTGTAGAAATAATATTTGTTGCACGAATGTGGTCTGAGTCCTTCTAAGCAATACCAGCCTTTTGAACAACCACATTGGTCACTCTTGGGAAGAACTTCCTGGAAGCCTGAACAGCAGCTTTTGCAGAGAAGGCCGCGTCCTTCTGACCAGCCAATGCCTTGGCAAGTGCATTGACTTCAACAACATTCTGGGCAAGGAATGCAAGCCAAGATTTGATTTCGACATCCAGCTGTATCTCATTTACTAGATCAACAACAGTGTGGAGAAGTGAGCAGGAGGTGGACACAACAAGGTTGTTTTTGCCCATAACAGCCTTAAGCTCTTACAAGGTGCTTAGAGAAGAAGCAAGATCATTGGCCCAGATGTTCCTTCCATCATCAACTCCAACAAAGAGGTACTTGCACTTCGGGAAATTACTCTTGATTAAATCAATGGTTTGAGTTCCAGGAACCAAATCCAAACCATAGGCACTGACACCCTTCAATCCAATGAGAATCTTATATGCCTCAGCAATAAGATCAGCTAAGTAGGTCTCAATCAGAACATTTAAGCCAGAGAGAGTAGATTCCAAATCAGCATAAGCAGCAGTGAATGCTTGCAATTGGTGGGAGTCGAGATCTAAGTCAAGGGTGGTTTCATTGATATGAATCCAGAAAGCACTAGCTGCCTTAAGCTCAGATATAACTTCCTTGTGGATAGAAAGGATTTTGGGGAGGACAGAGAAACGGAAGCAAGAGTAATGATTTTCTCTGAACACCCAAACTCTTTTGAAGCTAGAATCTTTTTTGAGATTATTGAATCCAATGAACTTTCTGCAACATGAAACCAAATCCGTGAAGTAAGTTTGGCATCATCATTTAGGACTCTAAGTGAATAAAGTTCTTCAAGTGTTCGGACCATTGATTCAAGAGATGAGAATGCTGGCCAATCAAAGACCAGAATATTATCAAAGCCTATGGCTTTTAATTGAATCACACGAGAAACAAGTTTTGACCTTTTTACCTCTGGAATTCCTTGAACAGACATTTCACTGGCAAAATACTCTTCTGTATATAGTCTATTATCCTAGATTACCAGCCCTGCCAACTCTTTGTCTAGCAGATGTCTTGGATATTGGTGCCACTTAGGAGTTGAAGAAAACAACAATTCCTGTTCTGCACGTGAAAGTCTTGTTGGTTCTTGGTCATGAATCCATGGCGCAGATAAAACGGCAGCTTGAACATGGTCTTGGACGGGATCCTTCACATAATGAATTTGCACATTAGACCTTCTACCCTCAACAGATAGGATCGCAAGCTCCAACCTTGGTCTAAGCTCCTTATCGTTAGCTTCTTCAAATTTTGAAGAAGCTGTATATATGAATTCAGAACTTCATGAAATGAAACGAAACCAAGATAGTTAATTTTGTTTTGGTACCGACGAGTTAAATTATATTAAAATACGATACATTTAAGGGTGTTTTTCATACTGAACTTGGTTTCACGTAATACATGTTATTTTTGGTGGTTTTGGTTCGTTTTAATAAATTTTAGTAGATTAACATTTTTGTCGGTATGTGATTACGAAACATGATTGTAATTTTGTGACTAATTTTTTTATTTTTTTTCTCTATTTTTAACTTAATAATAAAAAAAAAAACTTTTAAAAATTAAAACTTGAGCCGCATCTTTCTAATTTTTTAAAGCAATTCTTTCTTTTTTCAATGAAGTTTGGTAATTAATTATTTTTGGTCAATATGTGATTATGAAACATGATTTGTTATTTTGTGACTTATTATTTTTACTATTTTTAATCTAATAAAAATTTTTAAAAAACACTTTAAAAGTTAAAACTTGAGCTACATCTTTCTACTTTTTAAAGCAATTCCTTTTTTTTTTTACGCATTGTTTTTTCAAACTAAGGATTTATGTCTATTTTAATCTCTTCTAAAAAAAAGCAACTATGATCCCTCTCTAAAATTTAAGGTTCTTAAAGGTTATTTTTTAATCTTTTTATTTTTATCTTAATATATTCTTCTATAAAAAAATATTCTTTTAAATATTATATTATCATATTAAATATTTAAAAATATTATAATAAATTAATAATAAACAAATGATATCTATACATACCATTTTCTTTTCGAAAAACTAAATGTTGTTTGATAAGATATTAACATACTTCAACAAAACAACTCACCTCTTCAAAAATCGCATCATGTTATTTGACTGTTTTGCACCTTTTTTTTTTTTTTTTTTGCTTGGAGGAGTTAAAACACATATTGGGATTAATTTGCACAACATGAATTTTAAAAGCCAACGCTGCCTTCCTATTATCCTACAGCGATTAGTTAAAAAAGTATGAACTATGAAGAGAATTAGAAGGAACCGATCACCCAAAAAGAAAAACTGCATTGTTAGAAATTATTCAAAATACTGTTAATCAAGACTGGCTGATGGCTACTTATTTGCACTTTGGTTGAATATGAAGATAGCAGAGTCAAGACGCCGTGTGCTTCTGTTTACAAATGCCATGACCCATGAGTCAAACATATATTATAAGACGCTCCTTTAGATTTCAATCTCTCTTGCCTTGAACTCCAATAAATGCGCACAAGTCACTCGGAAGCTGCTCCACACAATTGTCAACTTTTGCTGCCTTCTCAAACTTACAAAAGACAATGGTAATCGTTGAGAATGAGTATCCTGCTCTCTAAAACAGTAAAACTCAATTGTAACTCGAAATTGATGAACAACACCCTAGGCCTTTCTCTGTCATAGTCGAAACTTCTTTCTTGTCTGTTACTTGTCAACTTTTCAACAAGGTGTCAGAGCCTTCATTGGAATTTATTTCTTCCCTCCCGACAAACCATAACAACAAATTTGGCCTATTCGAAAACACCGACCCAAGCTTTTAGTTTGTTTTTCAATTCCACAAGAATGCCAAAAGCAAATAAACACTTTTTCCTGCTTGTCCGTGATGGATCCTGGGATGTATCGGTATTAAATTTATTGCACATGAACAGCCTCATATCAACAGACACAGACAAGCGTCTCTTCTCTTTGTAATGGAAATTACTATAACAAAGCTCTTTCACTTTGTCCTCTACGGGGAAACTTTCTTGGATAGGTCCGCCAACAAATTGCTATAAAAAATTTCAATAGCACTCACTCTGTTCCAAACTTTCCATAGCGAGACTAGTGAAAGCAATGGCTACTTTCTCTTGTCCAATCTCCTTTCCATTCAGATGTTCTTCTAACGGTAATCATAACCATAGAGATCATAGAGTCGATATCAAAATTAATGGGAGCACTTCTACTAGGCCCATTAAGCTTGACCCATTGAATGAAATTGCTGGAGTTGTAAAAGCTTCCACTTCACTTGCTACTGTCCATGAAAACGGGCGCATAAGCGAAGAGCAGATTCGGCAGAGAATTCCAACGCAGAAGCAGCTGGTTGACCCTTACCGTCAAGGGCTCATCATTGAAAGGGGAGTTGGCTATAGACAGACGGTTGTCGTCCGCTCTTATGAAGTTGGCCCTGATAAAACTGCTACCCTGGAAAGCCTCCTTAATCTTTTCCAGGTGATAAACCGTATCATCTTTCAATTAAATTCCTCCCACTCCCATTCCCATAATCAGTATTGTATGCAGACAACTTCGTAATGTTCAGAAATACTCATGAGTTTGTAGGAAACAGCATTAAATCATGTATGGATGTCTGGACTTCTAAGCAATGGATTTGGAGCCACACATGGAATGATGAGGAACAATCTCATATGGGTGGTCTCAAGAATGCACGTGCAAGTTGATCACTATCCCATATGGTCAGCCTTTTCATCATCAAATGCACCGAACTAAAGCTTTTCTGATGATAATAAGCTCATCAATTAACTCACAATATAAAAAATTATAGATAAATTTAAAATTACGTTTGGCAATCAAATAACCATCCGAACCATATTTTCAACAACTTCAAGTAATTTTTATTGCATTGCATCTCTAAGGTTCGGTGTTAGTGTTGTATATATAAGCAACTTAATGATCTGAATCAACATAGATATAACTTTAATCTGTTAGTAGGGTATGCCTCAAGTAAAACAAATTTCAAGTTGGAGAATCTAAGTGTCCTTAGCATGGACATATCTGACTCACTTCCCGCCTTGGCCTACATTCTACAGTCTAGACTTTTTACATAAGTAGCTGCTAAGTACAATTGCACCTGTTGCAGGGGAGAGGTAGTCGAAATCGACACATGGGTTGGGGCATCAGGGAAGAATGGGATGAGGCGAGACTGGCTAATCCGGAGTCAAGCCACAGGCATCACTTATGCACGTGCAACTAGGTATGCATGGAATGTTTTGACTTGCCATCCCATCTGTTTATCATCTTCTTAGTTTTATCAATAATCATCCTTTTCCTATGGAACATAAAACATGAAACAGTACTTGGGTAATGATGAACGAGCAAACAAGACGACTCTCAAAGATGCCGGAGCAAGTGAGAGATGAAATTTCTCCTTGGTTTATAGGGAAGCATGCAATCAAAGAAGATGTTCCCGAGAAAATTGTCAAGTTGGATGATAAAGCAAAATATGTAAACTCTGACTTGAAGGTAATATTTACAATTATTCAACAGCCAACGGAATTAATGGCTGAAGGAGCAGAGACTAACTATTCTGCTTTATACCTTGTAGCCAAAGAGGAGTGATTTGGACATGAACCACCATGTAAATAATGTCAAGTATGTAAGATGGATGCTTGAGGTAAAAGACAAACAACTACCATCAATCTACATTAAATGTCTCAAATCCAATCTCAACCTTAAATCATCACTATTTTTCTGCAGACAATCCCCGACAAATTTTTGGAGTCTTATCTGCTATCTAGTATTATACTGGAATATAGAAGGGAATGCGGGAGTTCAGATCTAGTTCAATCACTTTGCCAACCAGATGAAGATGGGATTTTTACAAATGGAGTGGAACAAAATCTACTTAAAAACATGGTTTTGGCATCTGGAATCATGGGAGGAAATGGACACCTGGGCTCCCTGGATATGAAGACATACGGATATACTCATCTCCTCCAAATCAAAGGGGAGAGTCAAAATGAAGAGATAGTCAGAGGAAGGACCAGATGGAAGAAAAAGCTTTCTACAATCCCATATTCCACTTACTAACAATTATTTGATAGGCACGAGGGATTTAGCAAGCTGATCTTCTTTGAACATCATTGAGAAAAACCTGAAAATAATATTACTTAAAGATGGCATGAAGGAAATAATTAAGAGGCTTTGGATCTGCTCTGCTCTATATCCCAGAAGTTTGATTTTTGTGGTCCTGTGATCATGGGTTTGGGTAGATGAATGAAGACCATCTTAATAACATGTCAGGAGCAGTGCCACTGGCACGGTATTGAGTTCATGGAAAACTGAGGTCCTGGAACGTGTCAATCCCTGGGGAAGGTGCCAGAAAGAACAAGAGTTATCCATGCCCTAAATGAAATAAGTGGTGTGATTATGTGCTGATAAATGTTAGAAGAGGTCCAAAATTTGGGCCCCAAAAAAGCCAGGTGAGTTACTAAAACCATCATGTACCATTATTGCGCTGAAGTGTTTACAGTGTGCCAATATGTATTTAATGGAATTGGGGAATTTAACAGTATGTAATTAATTATCTACTAAAAGTTTCAAAAGATTCAGTTGTTCCAGAACCCTAATTAATGGATATTAAGCCCAAATTCCCTTCGTCAAGGCCCCAACCTTTAGAAGAAAAAATTGAAATGGAAGGAAATGGAGGGAAAAAGAAGGGTGAAAATGAGCTCATCCTATTTCCCGCAAAATAAAAAAGAAAAAATTTAGAAAAATTATGAAACAATGAGAAAAATTACTAGTCTTTATTTGGGCAACGTATAATCAGACAATGTATAAAAAGGGTGGTAAACAAGCCCTTGTACAGCATATTCTGCATGGGATGGAATTTTAGAGTTAAGACTTTCTTCTTTCACCTTTTTTTTTTTCTTTATTAAATTTCAATAAATATATCATTACCATTCACATGTTTATGATTCACCTACAATGAAAATCAAAACTATGAATAAAACTTACTGTCTAAGAATTTGATTCCCATGCATTTATAATCAATTAAAAAATTCAACCATAAATATAATACCAAACAAGACAAAGCCCATTGGCATGAATTTATTCCCTACGAAAAAAAACTAAAACTTACATTATGATTTGCATTGAATTTAATGAATTATTTCATTGAAAATTTAATGAAAATGTACTTTTGAAACTACTATGAATTTGCTTTAAAATGAACTTTTAAGATGAATTTAGGCTTAAATACATAAAATCATGAAACTTAACTAAATTTATAGATGAAAATTCTTCTTTTTATTAAAACTAATGGAGTTATCATATACTTCTTTCATCCCAAAGTGTTTGCACAGCATCGACTTTCATTGAATTTAATTTTTTTTTATTTTAATGTATTTAATATTAAAATTAAAAATATTTTTTTATAAAATTAAAATTCCATGACTTTTAATGTCAAAAAATTAAAAAAAATCATAAAAATAATTTTAAAATATAAAAAAAAATAAGAGTTTTAAATACTAAAAAAAAGTATATAATTTTGGAACGTCCAAAAAAGAAAAGATAAACAAAAAAAAATTGGATAAAGGGACTTGTTATTTATATCCAATTATACGTTTATGATCACTCTTAAGGATAAGTGAGAGGCCCAAAGTCCAAGCCAAGCTTATATAATAATAGGACATGTGTCCCATTTCAAGTGCATAAAGGTCTTTTGGAGAGACAAATATCCGTTGCAAGAGAGCTTCGACCTGCACACCTATAAATACTCTCCATACCATTTTGTAAAAAAAACATTTTTAAGTAAAATTATTTAATTATCTTTTTTTCTCTTAATTTTAAAAGTCTCTAAATGCATGTTTGATAAATTTTATAACTTATCAAATATTCATATCCAATAAATTAATTTACTAGATATGCATATTTGATAAATTATATAACTAATTGAATTTTCATATCTAATAAGTTATTTATCTAATCTTTTTTTAAAAAAAAATCTATATTTGTGTATCTAACATTTGTTAAAGAGTTATATTTAAGGTTTAGGATTTAAAGTTTAAGTTTTATGGTTTAGAGTTTTCATCAAAACCTATCTAATCAATTTTATCCCAATCTAACAAAACTATTTATTTAATATTTTTAGATTCCAACAAAACCTAAAAATTTAGTTGAGAAAAAAAATCTCATATCATAAAAATTTTTCACAATAATACAAAGAAAAGCGTGATTTGTTTTAAATAATAATAAGCTCATTTATAAATTTATGGTCTTTGAAATTCTTCTTGATTTCAACAATATGAGGAAAGGAAATAATCGATGTTCCTAATGAGATTTTTAAACCATTTAAATGATGTTTGCTAATAAGAGGATGAAAACTTTTAAAAGCTTCTAGATATACAAATAAAAAAACTTTTAAAGTTTTCCAATTTGCAAATTCAGAGACTTTTAAAAATGGGAAGAGTGAGAAAAGTTGAAAGATAGTTTAAGATAGGATAATTAAGTAATTTTACTTAAAGATAATTTTAAAAAAAAGTGTGGAGAGCATTTGTTGGGATTTATCATAATGATTTTATTTGAGGATTCAACTACTAGATGACTTTTAAAAAAACACAAAGCATCATCACAAATCTTTTTTGGTTAGGTGTAACTGACCACCTAATAAAACTTATCTTTTTACTAAAATCTTAAAATTAATTAAAACCTATTAAAAAGATAACTTTTAGGATTAGAAAAATAGTCTAGGTTCGAAAATACAATTACCTATAGGGAAGGATTAGCATCCCCACAGCATCCGTTTTAAAAAAAGATGGCACCAATTAATCATGTGTTATCCTTTAATTTCAACAAAAAAATCTTAATTTTAATATTTTAAAAAGATTTCTTATCTCTTTTTTATTGTCACAATTTTAATTTTTTTACTAGTTTTAATTCATTTTTTAAATTTTCTTAACAATAGAATTATTTTTTATTTTAAAAAATAAACCAGAACCTTGTTTGTTGAAAAACTCTTAAAATATTCTAATATATTTATAACATTAATAGAGTTTTTCTCACCTAAAGATTTATTAGAAATTAATATTTGGATTTCCTTAGAATCTTATATTTGGAAGCTCATGTTTATTTTTCCATAATCAAATGATGTACACGAGATGCAAATAATAAAACATAATATTCACGCATAAATATGTGTACTTTTATTTGTTTACTTATTTATTTAATTCATATTTTTTAAAAGGTTTGCTTGTTGATTTTCCTTTTTTTTTTTCATCTTTCAATTCTTATGAGTAGATGAAAGAGGAATTTTTTATAAATATCCCAATACGCTAGCGACATTTAAAAAAATTTCACCTAAATTATTATACAGATTTCTTTAGAATCTTAGCATTGAAAAATTTTTTCTCTTTTTCTTCTTTTTATTTATTTAGGAAAATTCTTTTTTTTATGAAGTATAAATAAATTAAATTCAATATTTTTGAAATCTAAAATTTATCTATATTGCACTATTTTTTTTAAATATATATATAGATATGAAATTCTTATTTTAAAAATCTAGAATTTTAATTATGCATGTATAAGAGAATAAATAATTTAGAAAAAATAAAATAAAAATAAAAAAATCCAAAATGGTCCGTCAATGCCAATAAATGGTCGATCAACATTGGTCAATAATAGTTAGCGTTAATTAACAAAATGGTCTAGTCAATAGTTCGACGTAGTTTAGTCTAGTTCATTCAACAGTTTATTGCAGCCTTAGGTGGCTTGTCTTGAATTTTTTTGTGATTCAGAGCAATTTAGTTGAACTGATCCTTGGTTTGAACTGATTTGGATCATCATGTTAGATGCATGGGTTGTTAGGTTAGGTCCATGCGTGGTAAACCTTCTTTTTTAACACTAAGAAAGTCAACACTTTTTTTTTACTTCAGTTTTTATCTTCTCCTTAAAAAATCATCTTTTCTTTAAATAAAAAAATTTTGACTGCCAAACACTTTCAAATCCCCAAACCTAGATTCCAACGTTGGACCACCTGATCAATCGTCACTTGTCGAAGTTGGTTTTTCACCAAAATCACCAAGATATTTCTTTTGACCTTTTCTTCCCTATTCTCAAATCAATTTCCATAAAAACTATTAAAAACTCCTAAATCTAGGTTGAAAAGCTAGGGCTTTAAACCTTAAAACAATCTATCTCCATTGGCAAAATAACTCTTCCTTCCCATATGTTCTTCATGTTGTCTTAGCCCTCTTTCTCTCCAAAAATCAAATCCTAACCCTCTCTAAAATACCCCAAACCTGAAGCTTCCCTTTACACTTTTTTAATTTTTATTTGTTTTTTTTATTTGTTTTGTTGCTAGTGTTTGCCTTTTGTGGTTGAGTTTGATTCTTTTTTTTAGGCTGTTGTGTGGTTTTTTGTTTTTGTTTTCATTGCTTGACAAAAAAGGAAATGGGTTTTGGGTCTTTTTGGTTCAAATAGGAGAGGGTTCAATAGAATAAGGGTTTGATAGTGGTGAAATTATAAAGAAGGTTGGCCTTTCACCCAAACCATAAACTAAAGTAAGCTTAAAAAAATAGAAAAACAATAAAAAAAAGCTAAGTAATGAGAAGATGGGTTGTGACCCCAACCATACCTTGTTCCTAATGTCTAAGCTAGCTATTTATAGAACAAGATTATATAGAAACCCTAAACTAATGGTTAGCTAACTTGAACTCTCATTCTTGAAGAAGATTGGTTTGGTTTTATTTGATTTCTTAAATGGATGCCTTCTTGAAATAAATCTTCAAAAGGATAAGGTTGATTTAGATCTTTCTTTAATGACTAAAATGTATCTAATATGACATGGCTTTTTTGAAATTAAAGATGAGTGGTTCGGTAACTTCTTTAGGAGAAAATAAGTTGATTCTCTCTTAAACTCTCTCAAGCAACTTTCAAACTCCTAACTTTAAGGTACTTACAACCTTTTTTTTAGCAAAGAGTCTTATATGACTTTTTAGCAAAGTTTGAAAAAGGCTTGTTCCCCCTCCTTAAAAAAAAAAAAAATGAAGATCCCTAATGATCTTAGAGGTAAAACTCTTTTGTGCTTGGATAACTAATGAGTTAAGAGATACAGAAATGATAAATAAAAAGATGAAAAAAGAAAAAAATGACTTAAATTGATAACTCA